TAAATGTCGGAAATGTTTGTATTTTTTTGCGATTGGTCATCAACAAAACTACTTTGCTAAAAACCAATTTGGTTCTACACACAAGGACTCTGAAGTTGATATTAAAAGGATGCTTGAGTTCCTCATTGACAACATTTGTGTAGTCTTGGAGACCATGTCTGAATTGTTGAAATTCCGATGCGCCTTAATTGTGCTCCTTTATAAGTCGACCTGTTTTTATATTCCTATGAAGCAAAATTTATTCAAAAACTTCTATATGAGAAGAAAACACTTGCTGTGGCCTTCTAGTCGACATTCAGATATATCGACGACGTTTTGTCAATTAAAGTTACATAATGAGTCAAAATCATGTGTTTCTTTTAAGATGTCTGTATCATAAAGCGAAAGATTTATGAAAATTATGAGTATAGCGAAGATATAACAACTAAACTGCACTGCAAAGCAAGAAGAGACTGCACAATATGAGTGCCGGAAAAACAAAGGTTGTATCAGTCGTTTCGTTGATATCGTGCATGTCAAGGTCGCGCCACTTTTATTTTTAGTGTTAACTTGTAAACAACATTCAATTAGAGCATGCAAAGGTGAGATATATTTTCTAATAATCTTATTTGAAGATTTTATCAAAAATTTTATCAAAAATCAAAAATCTTGGTCTACCAACATTCATTTTTTGGTACTTGAGACCATGATAACTTCTTCAACACTTCTGCGCAGGCGTACTATAAGGAGGAAGAAGTAAAGCAATATTTTTGTGTTGGACCATACAAAAAAATTTTTCTCTCCATAAAAGTAGATTTCTTAGGTTCCGAAACCTGTAATTTTCTGAAACCCAATACTTTCAGGAATTGAAAAAAAATTCGCACGGGTCATGCAAAAATTCCATTCATATCTTGACTCGATATATCTCAGTGAACTTGAGATAAAAGACAACACAGAGTCTTTCACATCATCATATTTGGATGTTTAACTGACAATAGACGGTAAGGGCAAACTAACGAGTAAACTGAATGTCAAACGAGATGATTTCAGCTTTTCCATCGTCAACTTTTTTTTATGTAGTAATATTCAACTATCACCTGTATATGGTGTTTATGTCTCCCAACTTATTCGATACTCAAGAGCATGCACTTAGTACGATCAATTTTTATACCGAGACAGGCTACCGACAAATAAATTGATGTTACATGTATTTCAACAACCTCAATCAAAGTCAGTATTTCGTGAATTCTAAGGTCGTTATAATGACATTGTTAGCAAATATAACGTTTTTAACCTTTCAATGGGTCGTATTTTGGCTGACGTGTTTCATACCAATTGTGAGATCTTTGTTTTTATACTAAATTTTACAACGGAACCTTCCATCTACCGGATCAAAACATGTGGCTCACAGTGGATGTGAACAGAGGATGCGTACTATCCTATGCACCTGATCCCACCTCTGGAATATCTGAGGGGGGAGGGCCCGTGTTTTATGCCCTGTTCACAGATTTGTGGTTTTTTTTTTATATCGATCTCTATTTGTTATCTTCACTTTTTTTCATCCTTGCCAATTGTCTGGATATTGCAAGAATTCAAATGTTACATTATATTGATTCATATAAGGTTAGATTCAAGTCATATATCATCATGCTATTTAATATATAAATTAGGTGTACGACTCATTTTTGAGTCGCATCTTCACGAGCATATAATTTTTTTTGATCACGGTCTGCTTTTCCTTTTTATGAATTTTTTTTAGAGAAATTCCACTAATCGTGTTCTTTACATTCTGAATATATTTTCTTCTGAATCACAAACACTTGGGCGTGCTTTTATAAAACAGTATTATTACATTTTCAACAGTTAAATACTGTAATTTATTTACTGGAAAAAAGGGATAATCTGTCACAATGTGAAAGAATATCAAAGTGATATTTTGTCACAGTGTACGTGAAAGAAAATCAGAAGTGCGGCAAAACTTTAGAGTCTCCTTTCCTTCACGAAGAGTGTTGTAAAAAATACTTCATGATGGCCTGTTATAAGAGAGAGAGAGGGAGAGATAGTAAATAAACCATCCTTACAGAGACTAAAACTCCTAAAGTTTCTTCAAATACGTTGTTGAAATCTATGTATACAGTGTTTTCAATCTCACATTAGCTAAAGTTGGACGTCTCAACCACTTAACTCTGATGTCACAGCCTTTGGCACTGTGTTACAAAAAGACAGAGGCAAGGGGAAAATCAAAGAAAATGTAATAAACAGAAACTTTAATATTTTGTAGTTGAATATTGAATTTATTTCACTCGTGCTTCGAATTCGTGGAAAAATATAAAAAATTCCTGTCCCACTTGTGATATAAATTCCATATCCAACTACAAAATAATAAATATCCTCTATGTGTTGCTTCTTAGTAAATTCAATGTTGAAAATCAAAATTGTTTTTCAGTGATGTCATTTATGACGTTACAATTTACGTAATTGATATTAATTTCCGATCGCTTAATACTGTAAATTCCTTATTTTACGCGAGTACTTAATATCGCGAAAGGGCTCTTAGACGCCAAATCGCGAGAACAATAATTCGCGAATGGACAGTTTACAATGAGATTTAACATTAATTTCAACACCATAAAAATAAAAGCGAGTTATTTTATTTCGCGAGTGGTGCTCCTCGCGTAATTACGCGTTAATTAATTCTTCGCGTATATTTAGGAATCTACAGTATTTGTTTTATCAACCTTAAGCATAATTGGGTGAAAACATTTTTTCTGCATTCATGCCAATAAAAGAAAGAAAGTAAATGGTTGCATTTTTTGAAAATGAACCCCCGTTAAATGCAATGATTCCACAGCATTACATAATCAATTGTTTCTCCTTTCCAAGAAATACATTTTTTTAAGAAAGTGACAAAAATTAAAGAGAATAAATTGTCAGGTTCTAAATTTTGAATTTACTCCGATCAGATAAATTCAAGATTATTTTGATTAATATTTCATAGTTTTAATGAATAAAACTTGAACTATTTATTTTTTATTAAAATTGTAGAAATTCTAAAAAATTTAATAACTATTCCTTTATTTTTAAGTAAGAGAAATTTACATCTAGAAAAAAGTGAGTTAAAATTTTGTAGGCATTTCAGCTCAGACTGCAGTCCATAAATCTGTTTTGCACATCCAATTGACCTGACAATGTAGATTCTATAAAAGATTTGATGCCATCCTTTACATTTTCAAATTTTTGCAGATATTTACCTTAGTTAATTATTTATGCAGGTGATTAAAGGAAGTAACTACTAAATGCCCTGCGCATCTGAGTAAGCAATATGAGCTGCATTTTTGAGAATTTTATTTTGCTGTTAAAATGGGTTATTATGATAAATTTGTATGTAATTTAAACCTTTCTGATCAATTAGACAGAAATAAAGTATCAAATTGTTTGAGAATAAAGGATACTGTACTATCAAATATATAGCATTATAATATAAGAAATCAATACTGTATAGGACGACACCAATGTAATTTTGGCCCAATCGAAGCTTATAAATAGTTCTTCCATCGCAAATATGCGCAAATTTGAACAACAGAAGTATATAAAGGTTCTTTTTTCTGTCATTGAAAAAGCTAATTACAATTTTGTAACACAAATTTCTGACATCAAAGTTGCAGCTCATATTGCTTTAAAATGAGAATATTTTTCCTATAAAGGAATTGTTTGTTTGTTTTACACACAGTCACATTTTGTAAATTCTCAATGATGAACTGTTGGGAAGGTAAGGGTAAAGGTAGGGTTTTGCCCCGCACGACCCCCTTACGAGATCCATACGCCCACAGCATCCTCACCCCCTTCTGGGGGTTACATGTAAAGCTGCCATATATACAGAGCTAATGCTTATACACTCACATAGCCTGCTTGTCTCATGTGCCCAGCACCCTTTTTAACCTACGGTTTGAGAAGATGCGCAAGGAGAGTGATGTAAATTGCCCAAGGTTACAATGTTAAAGCAGTTTTTAGCAACGGCCAGACTCGGAACCGGGGCCACCGGGTCCGAAGACGTCCAAGCTAACCACTGCGATATCACCTCCACAAATGCAATTTCTGAGACGCGGGTTGCCCAGAATCAAAACTTGAATCTTAATTTTCTCTTCTCTTTATTTTCTTACAGAGTACCATAAAATTTAAGGTCATTTATAAAAACAAAAGAAAGATATTATAAGGAATATTGTTATCACAAATTCATTATTATTAATTCTGAAAATTCAAGTCAAACCTTAGATGTAAACATAGGTAGTGACTATTTCTTCGCCAAGCGCTCAGTATTAGAAATTAAAGTCACTGGTCTTTCAGATGAGACCTTAAAACAGAGGTTCCGTGACACGGTAGACGTTGGTATGACAAAGATCCCTCACTACTCAATGGCCCTGAATGCTAAATATAGATCTAACTTTGATGTATATGGTAACTTCTCTAAATGTCATAGTGAAATATTCTCGAATGGGACGTAAAACAATATACAATCAATCAATCAATCAATCAATCCTGTCTTTCTATTTCTTTCTGCATACTGCTTTAAGCATATTGGTTTACTATTTGTTTCTCCTGTATTCCTGATGTGTGTACCAATAGTCGATCTCATGATACTGCAATCCAGCGTAAGCCAAAAGGTATAAATTATGGAACAATTTTTCAAGAAGACTCCAAATAGCTTTCAAAAGAAAACTGGATAACCGCATTTCACATCCATCTACCAACCTGTAGAACTTAGATTAGACATAATATCCATACCTTGCAAATTGAAACCAAGTTACATATTAATCATGCGGTCAAATCAATTCATACCGTTATCCCACAAACATATTAGTATCTTTATAAAGCTCTCATATTCTTTATTTACTCCTTACAAATAAATTCAAAATTTAGATCATGTCAAAATGTAAATAAAGTAAAAATAAATTATCTTTTAAGTTTATTAAGTTTATTCTACTCCATTGTTCTTGGGACTCTGAATCGATTCAAAAAGGAGTTTACGCAGCATTAAATAAATGTTATTTATTGCAACAAGTTTTGCACTGACATTATACTGTCTAATTCTTCTAGATACCAGGTTTACAAAATCCTTGGGCAACATCAAAATTGCAGGAAGTTTCAGTTTCCGCAGCGCATTCCTCTGGAGTAGTATTTTCTGCACAGATACATTCATTTACATACGCATTACAAAACTTGTTCAGAAACTCTAAAAATAGAAGAAAAAAAAGAGGAAACAATATTTAAATCTAAATTAGAATAAAGTGATAGAGACTGCATGACTAATTTTCCTTTTTTACACTATGAATCCTTGAAATCAAAATTCAGTCAAATATCATAGGAATTGTTATCTTTGGGAAAGCTGATTATTTATCAAATTTCGATCGAAAGAACATCTACTGCAAACTTCTGTGATTATTTAAAGGATTGTTATTGTTAAGGCCACAAGCCTTCGAAAAGCATGTGACAAGGTTTATGCAAGAACGTGTTTGTTCAAGGTGAGCTATTTTCTGCATGCATTTATTGTAGGACACCTCCTCAAATTCAATATATACAGGTAACTTTCACATAAAAATCACTTTTGAAGATGTGTCTTTTTGATGAATGGTTTACAAAACTTAAATGACGAAAATAAATTGTACACCATAAACAAACCATTTTTTATAATAATATTCAGCCAATTTTAGAACAGAATTCGCATCAATATGCAGCTAAGTTTATTTTCTTCCGCTACAGTACATATTTCCTTTAACAAACTAAAAGCCGTTTGTTGAGTTTAAAAGCACATCGCAATTATAATAATCAATAGAAAACGAACAACAAGACATCTTTTTTATCATGTGATGCGGAGCATCTTTTCAAGATTTTTCTGGTATTAATCTTTTAATACAAAGACAGAAAAATTGACAAACTGAGAAACAAGCATGAGTAGAAATGTAATCTCTTTCTTGACTTTGATGTAAATATGATTATAAATACCTCACCTTTAAAATTCCCGCCAAAATCATTATCACACTTCTCCTTGTCCTCCTTTGCTTTACTTAGATCCTCCTGTGCCTTGAAGTATGCCTCCTCACATTCACTGTGCCCTCTTCTACATTCCTCCTCTTCATCCCTTGCCTTTTTCAAACTGGCTTGGCATTCTTCCAAGTCTTCCAGTTTGTCCTCACACGCCTCTAGATCCGCCCTTAGATCTTGAATCGCTGAAGACAATATTGAAGTTGATGCGCTCACTGAAAAAAAGAAATAAAAATCACATTTATGAACTATTAACAAGTAAGTAAAATGTCACAGTGTAAATGTTTAAATAAAAGGTAGCTACATATCAATTATTTTGGCAAGAAGGATATTAGAAACTTTTGGTATACCATTAAAAAGTGTAAAAAAAAAAAAATAATAAAACTGCTCATTTACGAAATAATGGAAAGGAGATGGGTGAACAAGGCATGAAAAATACCTATAGCTTCAAATGTCTAAAAGTTATATTCAATTTGTGAATTTAGTAATTTAGAATTTGAGTAAAGTTCTTATCATTTAAAGTATGAAATTGAGACAAACAAAATTTTTTTCTGCGGAAAATTCTTTGGGCAAAAATCATTCTATGATTTAAAAAAAATGTGGTATTCTTGGGGTTGGAACCCAAGCAATAAAAATCGATAGGATCAAGTTTCTTCGAGATGAACAAGATAAGCACTACGCCATCGGCATTAAAATCTGTTTGTGATATGACCCTTGACCAAATGGACTTCAAATATATCTAGCAAAGTTACGAATGTTGTGTCATAAAAGTGTACTTTTAAGGTATAGTGCATCTTTGCTCTATGTTTTTGTTAACCGAAGAATGTATATTTTTACGCAAACTGAGTATAATCTTTCAAAAAATGGAGTCAACACCCACTCATATGGGAAAATTGTGTTTTAGTATGAAGAATTGATCACACAAAGTTTCGAAACCATTACAGATGCAAAGAAAATTTAAGAATTCTGGTCTCTGAGTCAGTTGTTTAGATAGTAATTAAAAAGGTAAATTAAGATATATATACTGGAAATTCCCAAGACTCCTAGAGCGCCTATCGATGGCAGCTCTGATCCTGTTTGTTGTGCATAGATAGAAGTCACTGTGAGAAGGAAACATCCAATCACAAGCACAGTGTTCTCCATACCAAGACTGGAACGATAATTCCAGGAACGCATTCCTTTTGTTTAAAAGTTGAGGCGAGTTTTTTGTTCTGTTGAAAGCAAAATGAGATATGAATAAATGAATTTAACAATTCACATTATTTTGGCAAATTGAAATGGTTTTGTTGTTTAAAACTATGTCCAAGTGAACTTTTCTTATGTGTACGTGTATTTGTATGTTAAACCTTGGTTATATTTTCTTTTAAGCAATACACTAGGCAAAAGTAGTGCTACAAGATAATTTATACAGGTTTATATAATAATAGGCAATCTTTAAGCCTGGGATTTCCAAAATACAATGCATTCATCAAATCAACAACCACATGTTATTATACTGTAACCCAGAGATCATATGTTAATACAAAACCCTGTATAAGATCAGACTGCCCCAGGACTGGCGTTCAGGGTGTATAACCTTAGCTTCTGTGTTATATTGCTGTGAATCATCATTAAATTAACCATACTCTGTATGTCACTCAAGAGACGTAATATTGATATGAGAGAATGAAATGCAAAAATATTATGGACTAGAGTAAATAGAATTAAATACGATATATTTGAAATGAAATTTATCATTTTACTCAAGTTCCATACCTTCCACTTTCGTGGGCTTGTGATTGAGCCACAAGGGCTTTTTCTGTAATTTTCTCTTCCATATATTATTACTAAACATGTATAATGATTAAGAGGATGCTGCGTTGACTTTAATAAAATGCTTTTAAAATGTTTAAAGTAAGTTATATATGGTAAAAAAAAAAAACCTTGTATATTTAAGACGAGATAAATGATTTAAAGATGTCTCTTGAAAGACTGGAGAATTCAGGATACCTCTTAAGGATTTTTTTCTATATAATCTCAGAAATTGATTCGTAAAAATCATTTCACTACAATTTATTTTTATTTTCAAACTGTTTACAAGATATATGTTGTTAATTTATTTTTATTTGTAAAATTCAAATAAGTGCATGTTTGATCGTTAACTTGTTTTAATTTTAAAAAAAATCTATCAAATCACAATGTACAAAATGGTTTAAATTCTACGTGTGTTACTCATACTTACGATTTTTATCGTTGATATCTCCTCAATCTAAAGTTAGGAGTAAACTTTCCTATCCCTTGTGTTTTGTTGTATTAATATTGTGGGCTTGTACAAACATGTCGGGTAGAACATCATAACATCACTCAATCAAAACAAGGAAACAACATTACATGTATCATACTCAACACTAACATGCACATTTCATTTGTTTATTGTATGTAAAAGTTCTTCTAATGCAATCTGTTGCAATGTCTATGGGCTAAGTTGTACTCCTTCATTAGCCAACGTTTTTTTAATTTTAAAAAGCTAAATTTATTCAAAACTTTTATCTGAGAAGATTGATTAATTGATCATATGCTGTTTTACGTCCCATTCGAGAATTTTCACTCTTATAGAGAAGTCACCAGATACCGGTGAAGGGCTTCAAATTTTGACCTATACTCGGCATGCACTCAGGGCCTTTGAGCAGTGAGGGTTCTTTATTGTGCCAACACATACCGTGACACGGGACCTCGATTGTTAAGGTCTCATCCAAAAGACCCGTGACTTTCACTTTGAATTACCATTCTTATTCTATATTCCTAAACTACATACTTACATCATTACTTACATATACTTATCCTACCTCTGATAAAAATCTTGAAATTTCATTGGTCGAGAAGAAAACTGTATTAAACCATATTATGCTGCCTACCGACATTATATTGTTAATATGCCCCCTCCACGTGACCTACCAACCACAAATCAAATCAATATGCCCCCTCCACGTGCCATACTGTCCAGACCATATTCAGTAAACAGTATATTGTTTTCATTTGAACAAGCAAGGAGCCTAATAACTGACGTCACATAAGCATTGGACAAAGTCAAAATATAAATAATTGTTACGGAACGGTTTGCTTAACTCAGTGAAAATGAACTTTATCAAAAAATCTTTGACAGGATAAATTCGTTATGTAGACACTTAGAGGGGTAATTCGGAAATATATTGGGTCCCTAAAAAAATGCATATTGGGCTCGACTTACGCATCGCCCAATATGCATTTTTTCAAGGACCCTATATATTTCCGTATTACTCCTCTAAGTGTCTACAAAAGTAATAATAGCGGGTTCCAGTAAATGTTCTACCAGCCTTTTTCTTTACTCCTCACTTAAATATTAACAGCAGTGAATTAGAAACTTCAAAAGTACTGTACAACAATATATTCGAGAAGGAGTGTTAATCAGATGTGGATACTTAAAAACTCAAAAGAACTTTTAGAAAATTTGAAATCACAAAAATTTACTAAATCATTAACATTAAAACATTAAAACGATTTTTCAACACTTTATACAACCATTCCCCAGTATAAATTAAAGTCCAGGCTTTTTGACATTATAAATAGCTGCTTTTCAATAAAAATGGAACTCGTTAATTAACTTATCTTGTCATTGGTCATTTGCAAAATTATTTCGTTAAAAACATTCTGATTGTACACACAAGTACTCCGAAGTCGATATTAAAAAGATGCTTGAGTTTCTGATTGACAATATCTATGTAGTTTTTTTTTTTTTTTTTTTTTTTTTTTGATCAAGTCTGTCGGAATTCCCATGGGCACTAATTGCGCCCCGTAATTTGCAGACCTATTTTTGTATTCATATGAAGCAGAATTTATCCAAAAAACTTTCACATGAAAAGAAGAAGTCTCTTGCAGTGGCCCTCAGTTTAATATTTAGATATATCGACGATGTTTTATCAATTAACAATATTCATTTTCATTCCTAAATTGATTCGATATATCCCTTCGAACTCGAAATAAAAGATGCCACAGAGTCTGACACATCTGTTTCATATTTGGATATGTTACTAGAAAAAGATGTCGATGGGTAACCTAACTTTATAATAGACATGATGACTTCAACTTTTCTATAGTCAACGTTTTGTTGTATTTATGTAGCAATATATAATTATCACCTGCATATGGAGTTTATGTCTCCAAGGTGATTGGATACACAAGAGCATTCTCTACGTACAAACAATTTCTAAAACGAGGCAATCTATTGACAAATAAGTTAATGAAACAAGGATATCAACAGTCTCGGTTAAAGTGTACATTTCGCAAATTCTATCGTCGATACAAGGACCTTGTCAGCAAATGCAATTTATCATCAAGTCGAATGTTGACTAACGTTTTTATACAAATTATTTTCACACTGAATTGTCTACGGGTTTTTCCGTTTGCCCGATAATGACAAGCAGCACAGGGCAGTTGTGGCAGGTCGACAGGTTATGCTTACTCCTCCGTGGCGCCTGTTCCCACCTCTGATGTTTTTAAAGGTCTGTGTTGGTCTGCTCCCAATTTGTATTTTATCAATGGACTTTTGAGTTTGATTACTGTTTGTAATCTTCACATTTCTTTAATACAGCGTGGAAGGGTTTGAGAGTGTAGACGTCACTTCATAATACAGTGTGAATATCTTTCCTTTCATCTCATTCTGTATTCAGGGATATATTAACAGGATCTTATTACCTTGCAGTAGATAGGTATTGTTTGTATAATGCCTATTTTCAAATTTCTTGGACAAATAAAAATATGCAATATGAATTTGATATTTTTATTTCACAACAAGCGGAGATATTTTTGACAAAGATTGGATTTAAAAAAAAAAAAAAAGAAAAAGAAAAGGAGGTCCTTTTACAAGCAGAGGAAAACATTTCTATGAAAGTTGATGCAGATTTTTGATTTTTTTAAGAACTGCAATTATTCGGGGGAAGGGGGGATTATTTACGGAATGAAGAACACTTCACTTACGAAAATATTACAAACGAATGAAGCAAACAAAATTACTTTCATGCATGTGTAATTAGTTACAGTGAATATTTTTTTAAAGTTTATAATTCTTAGTTAGAAAATTAATTTATTATCAGCTGATACTTAGTGTATGCATGTCTGATTTAACCATATTTTACTGTACATCCTTTTAAAAGTAGAGCTAAGCAGGTAATACAAAGCCGGCAGTTGTGCAAAAGTCACTTTGCCAATCGCACCCAAGGTCCTCCTCGCAATCAACTCGATTAGTATATTCTGCACAGGAACACTCATCATTATGAACACGACAAAGATTCCTTAGAAACTCTATAAAGTAGAAAAATGTATACTTTTGTTATGCGCTATTTAAAATTAAATGCGTTTTTCATTAAAAAACAAACAAACTGAATACCATCAGCACTTTTTAAGTCCAATTATGATAAATATTTCTGGTGAAATTTAATTTTCAATGTTCCTTCTTTGAATGCTTCTTTTATTAGTTTCATTTTGCACTCCAAATTTGTATTTAAAAAAAATTCCTGCATATAATTTGAAAGTAAAGAATTAAAAATCATTTTTCTACTTTTCATTATTTATATTAAATAGAAGTAAAAATAATATAAAGAACACCATTCTGTGTTTAAAGGTCGAGAGTTTGTCACGCAGCAACAATTTTCCCTGGAAGGGATATATCCTATAGTTATTTATTTTGTCAAATTATAGATACACAAAAAATAAAAAGCCTCACCACACTCCTTAAGATCCGCCCTTGTATTTTCAAGCTCACTCTGCACCTTAAAATATGCTTCCTCACATTCGCTCCATTCTTTTCTACATTTTTCCTCCTCCCTCTCAACTTTAATTAAATCGTCTCTGCAGTCTTCGAGACAGGTGATCTTCTCCTCGCACTCCTGTAAATCTAGCCTTAGGCGTTGGAATAGTGCAAATAAATAAGTATTAGCCGCTCCAGCTGAAAAAGACATTTCAGAATGTTAAAGGGGATGAAATGACACTGTTCATATGTACATATAACAAAGTGTTGTTTCGTAGTCACAGTGTTACCTTGAGCTTTTGCTAATTTATTAAGGCGAATTCAAATATTAGCTAAGAGTACTAGTACATTTTATTTACTGTTGTTTAAGATAATCGCTATTGTTATCAATATGTTTTCTTGAAATAAAATACAATAAAATAAAATAAAATGCTTTGACAGATAGGAATAGAGAAGCTCACAGATAAACATGTACATACAAAAAAAATGCCCTTTAATACCTAAAACTTCAAGGTTATTCAACTTTATCACTCGTCATCACTTTAAACGGGTTATTTCAACGACTCTAAACAGATCATGAAACATCATTTTCGATGCAACATGCAAACTAGTAAATTTTCCTCTCATGCCAGCTTTCATCTACAAACTTATTTGGTTAAAAACCATTCTGATTCTACACAAAGTACCCGAAAGTTAATATCAAAAAGATGCCTGGGTACTAAATGTGCCCCGTTATTAGCAGTTCTCTTTTTGTAATCGTAAAAAGCAGAATTATTTCAAAAACTTCTGCATGAAAAGAGAAATTATCTTGCTGTAGCCTTCAATTCGATATTTAGATATATCGATGACGTTTATCAATTAGCAATATTTATTTTCATTCATACGTTGAATTGTTATATCCCACTGAACTCGAGATAAAAGACAGTGCGGATTCTGACACATCTGATTCATATTTGGATATTTTACCGAAGAGAAAGACGTTGATGACACACCAACAACTAAACTTTATGATAAGCGTAATGACTTCAACTTTTCTATCGTCAGCTTCCCTTATTTGTATAGGAATTTACCATTTTCATCTGCATATGGAGTTGATGTCTCCTTGTTGATTCGATACACAAGAGCATGTTCTTAGAATTAACAATTCTAAAAACGATGCAGATTACTGAAAAATAAGTGATGATACATGGGTATCTACATTTTAGTTTAAAGGCAACATTTTGCCGATTCTCTAGTCGATACAATGACCTTGTTTGCAAACACATCTGTCGTTAGGTCGAATGTTGACTGACATCTTTTATTAAATATGTTAGGCCATTATTTTCATACTAAATTGACTACGAATTTTTGCGTTAACATGATCATGATAAAGGGTACACGGCGGTTGTGACCGTTCGAGAAGGGATGCTTACTCCTCCATGGCACATGATCCCAACTCATGTTTCAGAGGTCCGTGTTTATAATCTCTGCTTATAATTTGTATTCTTTCATTTAATTTTGATTACTGTTTGTTATCATCATATTTCATTTTGAGACGGTAAAACTTAAATGATTGTATATAAATTGCAATGTACACTTTACCATAAAACACTGAGAAGTAAAATATATAATTATGATATTATTAGCCTCGTGCTGGTGAAACTGGAGAGGGCTATAGGTTTCCTTTCCGTCAGTCTGCCTGTCTGTAACTGTCCCTTTGTCTGTCAGTCAGTCTGTCCTTCTTTTTCGGGACATTTCTGTACATGCTTGCAGATATTCAACGGTATTTGGTATGTGAGGCTACCTTAAGTAAGTTGAAATCTTGAAATCAATCCATCAATGTGTTGGAGTTGCTAAGTTTTTTTCCTAATAAATAAACTTTGCAAACTAGTATTATTGACAAATAACCTGCATTCGGTTCCTTTTTGTCTATCAGGATAAGTTTTTCCTTTTGAGGAAATCGGAAGCAGGGTAAAACAATTTAAGTATAATGAATGAAAGAAAAATGAAATATAAAATAATCAACTATTCCATGCAGCTTACTGATAGAAATGGGTAGATATTTCCATGTATAAATGTTTGGAGATTTTGGTCATCTATACATAAATATATATATATTGTAACAGAACAACTCAGAAACAAAAGAAACTTTTTTTTTTAAAAAAGCCACTTACACAACTCCGGGAAAAAATTTTATCTATTACATGATTTGTTTTCAATTTGTGTGAGAAATATTCTAGAGTATATACCATGTAATCACTTGCAAAATATATCATTATTTTGTAATTAGTATGTCATTACCTGAAATTCCCAAAGCTGCAAGGACACCAATCGCAGGAAGTTCGGATCCCGTCTGTGCATTAATAGCACTTAAAGTAAGGCAAAAGAATCCAATCACAAGCAGTGACTTATCCATGTCCACAAGGTAATTCCAGGCTTTCTACCGGATAAAATGAAAATATTCTCTGTGTAGCCTTAACAATCATAGACAAATACTGATGCACTTTATCTTCATTTACAGTAATGAAACACAACGCAATATCCACTGTTAGACTTCCTCGAAGAGTCGGAGATGAACTACACCCTCTGAGCCAGCGTTAAAGTTTCTGGAGCAGTCCATTTTCTAAGTAATTATCTCTAACCTGGACCAAACTCGAATTTTAAGAAATATGTACTAAAGACTTGCTTGGATGCTGCATCTATCCTATTTTTTTTTAGAGTGACTAGGATAAAGTTTTTGTAGCAGTTCAATGCTAAAGTAAATGTATGCCCTTCCTGGATCAAATTGGCAAGCATACTCAGTAATACACCAGAGGATGTTTACCACCAGACCTGCTTCTGATGCTGCACCTGACCTATTATCTTAACTAGATGCTTGACCAGGTTCAATGTTTTTAAGCAGGTCCATTCCAAAGTAACAAAAAACCCTATTGTGACCAAACTTGCATGTATTATGCATCTCCGGATGCAAGCTACACTTTCTTGTGATACGCCATGTGAAGAGTTTAAGTTTTTGGAAAGGCCCATTTCTATGTATTTATAAGCCTTATTTTGACCACACTTCCAATGACTGAGGCCTCTAGGATGTAAATCCACCAGACTTACTTTGGATGCTCTACTGATCTACATGTTTATTTTTTTTCTTTTAAGATGCTAGATTTAAGTGTATGGAGAAGGTCCATTCCAAAGTGATTATATGTCGTATCTTGACCAATTTTGCAAGGATGATAATCTAAAATGCATACTTACCACCATGCTTAAGATCCCTCGAGTAATGTGTATTTTTGGATGATTAATAAAGGTCTATGATGGCGAATTGCACGTAACTAATTGCCCTTACTGAATATTCATTAGGTGTGAGATTTTTCCTTAATACATGCACTTATGAATAACATTCGTAAACTTAAATTACCTATTTAATTTTTTAAATAAAGAAAGAAAATATAAATTGATTTAAGAAAATAATTGGAAAAAAAATCATTAAGATTTGTGAAGGTTATACTTGCTATCAAAAGTTTTCTTCATATTTTACGTTATAACATTGTTTGTATTTATGCTTACTGTAAACCGAGAATTATTCGCGACATCTTTTATTCGCGATTCGTAAGTTTGGAATCCATCTGCGATGATTGATTTTCAAGAGAATTTTACTGAGAATTAGGCCTATACAAAAACAAAATAGAAAGTAATGGTCTGCGGCGAGAATTAAAAGAAGATCGCGTAACTCGCGGATATGTCTAGCACACGAATAATATTTGGTTTACAGTATTCATACATTCAGTATTATTGAATTATGATTCCAAGTTTATCAATTTTAACATACTGTTTATTATGCACAATGATTTTCTTTATGAGTGTCTCTTGGTAGTGTGTTAATAAGAAACAGTTCATGAGTTCAAATAACCCAAGGCGCCCTGCTTTATGTAACATTTGTCACTCTACCCTATAATCATCCAAGCTACAGGTGTAAAACATGAAACACATATCTCAACGTGTCTTTTATATATATACATTCTAAATTACATAAAACTCAATGCATCCTTTATAACGCAACGCCTCTTTCTATACGTAAAACATGAGTGCATTTATACTTCATATTGAGTCTATTGATTTGGAAAATTGAAATTCAGCATTTCATTAATAAATGTTTGGCAAAGATCAAACAATGCTGGATGTCAACAATCTGATTTGAAATGGACTGTTTTAATCGTACATTTTGGTAGATTGACCTTAACTTTTATACACTGTATACATTTAGAAAGTGTATAAAATTAAAATTGCTAATTTGCGTTTGTGATCATTATTCTAATCAATATTATTTAGATAGAAAAGAGGTTTACATAAAACAAATACATATTTTCATAAAACATACCAAAAGGAAGATAAAAGAAAAAAATATATATCAAGATACTTACAAGTTTTTGCGTCTGTTTCTCTTCGATCTGAACTGTAATTTTCTATATAATATTTTTGTGTGTTTGATTCTGTAACTGGTATTGCTTTCATTCAGTGGGCAAGATATCAGCAGGAGTTGGCTAATCAAAATGTCACTACTCAATCAAAATACGGAAACAAAAAATATGAAACATGCCTGTTCACAGTTACATGCATTCCCATTTTGTTCATTTGTTGCACCCTTACCTGTAGTTGATACCAGCGATAAAATAATCCTCAGGTAGATTTATACTTTGGGATTGTACCTCTGTTATATGGCGATGTTGCCTATCTAACGGCCAGCTGAATTGTAATTCCGTACTATTTCATACTTTGGTTTGAAGGACAAAGAGGCTGTGCTATGAGCAGTAACTCTCATTATGATTGCTATTTAAAATTTTGCCACCGTCAAAAATTATGTATTTGAAACTTCGCTTACTGTCGAAATCTTAAATTATTTGATTTTCATTAAAAAAAATCAATCTCCTTGTTGAAATTGTTCATAATAACAGAAACCTTGTGTTTTCATTAAGGGTTTGAAATTAAAAATTTCTAAAATTTCCGGTATATTATCATGACGTACATGTTGCTAGAGCATTTCAGACCGATATATTATAAAAGTGTGTCTAACAATTTCTTTCATCTGAAAATTATTAAAACTATGAATTTCGGGACGCGTTTGATTGACACACATCCTTGCACTTTTATGAAGTATAATTTATCCTTAATATTTAGGGAAAGTGAAAAAATTGCTGTGTATTAATGAAAATATTTAAATCTATAAAATCCAGAAAATTAAGTGTAGAAATGAGGGAAAGCAAAATCAACACATCGTTGTTGTCAGTTCGTGTCCAGTGATGTATGTAGAGTTAACAAATTGAACATACCCGACAAAACGTAAACATGAACAATAACAGAACTCGTGCCAACGTTTACACACACATGTTTGACCATATGTTATGAAGAAAATCGTAGACATTGAATTGTAAGAATATTCATGTAAGTTCAATTCATTAAACTGAAGTTATTTTTATATATAAAACGGCAATGAAAATGTGTCCAGGCCCCTTTAAAACAAATTGTAGAGAAGGTAGTTTTTTAAATTCCTAACTGTAAATAAAAGTTAGTGCAATCACTCTATTTGTCAAAATCCTAATTGAAAATAGAGGTAGTCCAGGCATTTTTTATGTCAGAGTCCTAACTGTAAATAAAGGTAGTGCAGTCACTCTTCGGGTCAAAGTCCTACCTGTAAATTAAAATATTGCAACCACTTTTTATCAAATTTTGGCTGTAAAGGTACTGTCGTTTCCTTGTCATGAACAACATAGTAATATTGTTTGCATAAATCACGTATTGTGTCGAGATGAAATCGTTACATCTTGATCCTTGATTTGAACCGATGACTATTCCAGTGATTTTGGTGATAAAGGATTTGCGAAGTTAAATGAACTCACACTTCTGACAGGAAGATAGGGGTCAGTTTATATAAATATATTCGAGCTTCAATAATCGGAGCATAAAATAAATATTAAGAAATAAGAGAATATGGAAGGGCACATAACAACAAAACTAATTCTGTTGCAGTATACAAGTTCTTTAAGACCACAGGGCGTGCTCCATTAAAGGAATTATGTATAAAGAAAAAAAACAGGTCTATATGGAGGAAACACGTCCAGGATTTTTTTCTATATGATAGTTTTGAATATTCGCAAAATTATAAATTCAATACTAATAAATTCATTATTATTACACTCATTGTAAAATTACATGTACTCTATTCAACAAAGCTAACGAAAAAAGAAAGATCTTACTTGGAGAAAAACTAAATTCCACAATAGAATGAAGTAACAAACACAAAACAACAAGATATTGTTCAAATGTTGAATGTTTTATTCATATAATTATAAAGGATATAATAGTCATATATATGCAATTATGAATACATGCATTCTTTAGCCTATATTGATGACATTATTTCCCATTTTTAACTAATTGGAGCAGTTTCCATAGCATCTCTCTGAAATTTAGAGTGCTTAAAATCTTTCTGGACATATTTTCCCCATGGATATCTGCAATTATGGGTAAGAAGTACTTACAAATACCTTTCATTCTAAGTATGTAAATGCTTTCATCAATATCTTTGACTGGGCCCCTGTGTATTTCCTAACACATAGTACAAAATCAAATGCTTAAATTCATCAACAATCTTTGAAGTCTTTCACGCTCGATCCATCATTACCTCTGATATTTTGTTTTAAAATGTCATCGCTTCTTTATATCTCTTCTTTTTTTTTATCTTCTTCATTATTTCCATTTACTTCTCCCATCGTTTCCACTAAATTCTCCGATCGATTCCACTTCTCCTATCGTTTGCATTTTGATCCTATTTATCTGCATCTCTTTCTTTCATTGGATCTTTTTTCTCTACTCTATTATATACTATAATACACTCCCACCTGCACATTGATTTTTTTCTTTTATATCTCTTTCATGTTTGATACCTTTGTAAGTATTTTAATGTCTTTTAATACACCACCATATTATTTGATATTCGCTTATTTCTGTATTCTTATGATTTAAAATGTCTTTCAGAATAAATCGAATTATTTCTCAAGCCACAATTTTTTAAAGTTTTATTTTAAAAAAAAAAAGTGATAGATTTTCAGGAGGGAATGTAATAGATATATAGGTGTGAACATTTGTATAATTAAGTCATTCCTGTTAAGAGTTAAAAATCATATCTTTTGAGAGGAAATAAAATCGAATAGATGTTTGAGTTTCCGATTGACAATATCTAGTATGCAGGTTTTTTTGGAGATCATGTCTTCCAACAATCTGTTGGCATTCCTACGGTACTAATTACGTTATTAGAAGCCTGTTTTTGTATTCATATGAAACAAACTTTTTAAAAAAAACTTCTACATGTAAAGAAAAGTCTTGCTATGGCTTTCAACTCAACATTTAGATGTATCGATGACGTTTAATCAATAAACAATATTCATTTTTATTCCTACATTGATTCGATGTATGACTTTGAACTTGATATAAAAGATACCACAGAGTCTGACACATCAGTTTCATAGTTGAATATTTTATTAGAGAAAGACATTAATTGCAAACTTACAACTACACTTTATGATAAACATGATGACTTCAACTTTTCTATCGTCAACTTCCCTTATTTATGTAGCAATATACCATTATCACCTACATATAGGCTTTATGACTCTCAGTTGATTCGATACGCAATGGCATGTTCTACGTATTTGCAATTTCTAAAAAAAAATGAAAAAAAAAAAAGAAAAAAAAGAAAAGTTGATGATACAAGGATATCAAGAGTCTCGTCTAAAGTCAAGATTTCGCAAATGCTATGATACAAGGACCTTGTTAGCAAGTACAGTCTATCGTTAAATTGGTGGTCATGTTACAAATTTTCATGTAACAGGGAGAACAATAACAGAGTAGATAATTTTATGTAATATATGTTAGATGACTTGCCTTATAGCTCTTCTTACAGTGATGATAATATGTAACTATGAAACAAAATTGTGTGACTATTTAGTGGATGAATTAAATATATCTTATTGCAAAAATCAGCCCACCTTTCCTTGAAATAGTTTCGCACTTTCTTTCCACTGGGTAAAAGATTAACATTTCATAATCTAAAGTAAATGTTTAAACATATGGTTTCAAAAGCATGGCATATCTGATTTAACAATAAGGTTGCCAGTGAATTAGAAATCCAATTAGAGCAAGTTTTTGGTATTTCTAACAAGTCTTCCTTTATGGTTGTTACAGAATAGACAAAATTATAGTGGAACAGAGACCAAAATGATAAAAATTCTTGACTCTAAATAAATTGAAAAAAAATTTCAATGTTCGTATTTCATTAAACAAAGGTAATTAGATCTCGAAGTGAAAAAAATTTCAACACAGCAGACCTAAAATATTTTAAAATTAATACTCACTGATCCCAAAGTATAGTGTTGATATCAAAATATGGGCTGATACAGAGAGGTTCCGAGTCCAGTATTGCTGTGTTTCGTTTATTGCATTTTTTTTTTCATTTTTTTATATCTTTTCTGTCAGTTTTCACACAGATTGGACCTAAATGTTGATAATGACTCTAATTTAATCCTTCTTACTCGGTGTAGAGTGTAATTTATTTTGGTAACAACATTGGCCCCGTGATTGTAATTATTCACAAAAGATTCCAGATCATCTGTCCTGTGGGTGAATAAAATGTAAGGATCTCACGCTTATAACTTTTGGATGCTGCACCTGATCAATTTTTTCCATCTCTGTGAACGGTTAAAGTATTTGGATCACCCCTTTCTATGTAACTGCAAGCCTTAATACGGCAAAGTGCATCTAGAGATGCAGATTTTTTTTCTGGATGCTGCATCTGATCTACGTGTAAATTGCCTGAAACGTCCTGATTACAGTATTTTTATAGGTCCATTCTTAAGAGACATTGTCATACTTTCACCAAACTGCCATGGATGTAGCATCGACAGATACATACTAACCGTCTTGCTGAAAATACTGCGAGTGACATGCAATGTAAGCCGTTAATAAAAGGCATTTAAAGTACAGCTTACATCTTACATGTAACTCATGGATTTTACTGAATATTCACTTAATATGAGCTTGAATTAAAGAAAAAATTGTCGAGGTGAGTAATAAAAAATCTTTGATTAAATGTTTCTATGTTTTATAGACATTAGACAATCCTTATTCTGGCATACACTTACTCATTGGAACATTTTTCTGACTTGTAACTTTTACTTAGATTTTTCAATTGCAAGATGTACGAGGACATCTCAACTGTTTTTCATCAATTATATGCGTTTAGAAATAGGCAATATTTTGAGTAATATACTAAATTGTTGAAAACACACTTGGAAAAATATTCTTTTGAACGAACTTCTTGAAGACGAGATCGTTCTACTAAGGATTATCTCTTACGGGTCAACAGGAACGTTATAGGTTTTAAAAAGAGTACCTTTCGACCTTATCTAAATTTAGTTTCTTATCAAATTCAGTTTTTATTTTTAAAGTTTTCCCCAGATTTCAGGTCTTTTTCTGTACCAGA